AGAAAATATTTGTGTCTTTCCCTTTTATATGCTTTTGCTTAATACTTTCCCTAATCTGATAATTTCTCTCGGCTTATTTGGTTTCTAAAGGTAGTTTTCCAGTCTTATTCTAGTTTATTAGACTTACCTAGAAAGTGAGGAAGAAACAGCTTGTTAAGGTAGGCTTATCTTCAGAGAACATTTTAGGGAACTCTTACTAATACTGAAATTGCCAAGTGGCTCTCAATTGAGTGACTAATGGGTCATGAGCACAGTAAACTTGAATATTTTGCAAATGGGAGCTGTTTTCCTCAAGGTCTGCGTTCAGGGTTGGTAAATGTTCCTGAGGTTGCATGCTTGAGCTCTGACGCTTAGTCAAAAATAATAAATCAGCTTTTCTGAGAATCCTTCTTGTTGTTGCAAGTTCAGCCACAAAATAAGCTTTTGCATTTTCTGCAATTATTGGGATTTATGCCTTCCTGCCCAAGAGCTGAGTTTAACCACCTATAATTTTTCTCATTTTGAGCAGTTTAGTTTTTCTGGTTTTCAGAAATGCAGCAAACTAGATCTGCACTAGTGTATTCAGTTTTTGTTTTGAAGTAAGATGAAATTCGTTCTGTAGTGAAAAAATCTCTTCTAGTGTTCATCTTGGAAGTCTAAATTCAGGTGAACAGACCAATTTAGTGAGCTCCACTAGATACTGGGTAGACATTTTCTTCCTGCTGTATATTTTGGCCTTATGTTGAGGAGTTTGATTTATTATTAAATTATTTGTGTATGCAGACTTTAATCTGTACGTATTTTATTTTGATGTATTAGGATTTGTAAATATTACTGATTTTTAAATATTATTTATGCACATACTTAAAGGACTGGTCTATCCAGAAGAGCAATTGCTAAATAATAAATGTTACTTTTTAGAAATAAATTGCAAGATCATGAAATTGTATATCCCTCAGGGTTATTTTTAAAGTTTTTTTTTCTCTTTTCCCTTCAGATTCAATTAGCAGTAACTCTAGTTTCATGTACTATAGAACTAAATCTACTGTAAAAAGAAAGTGCTGCAAATAATGCTTGAGTTGAAGCAGCTAAAACACCCACAGAACTGACTGTCCATATTCATCGTAACTTCAAATTGGAAACTCTTACTGTTGCACTTTTAAAAAGTTGTTGGATTTTTAATTCTATTTATTTTTTTTCTTTCTTCATGAAGGTTGTGCTGAACGGTCATCCCAAATTGGGTAAATAATCCTGTACTGTATATGTGTATACAGTATAATACTAAGCAGATGTGGAGTCCTTTTTATGCTGCAAATTTTTAACGCTTATGTTGGTCATCACAAAATGAGAGAGCTCAAGTCCTGTAGGATTTCTCCCATGAAATTCTGAATTGTAAACTTAGGTTTTTGTATGTCTAAGGGAAAGCTGTGGGTTTTTGACAATTTTTAGAGTCTTGAATATGTTAATTTTATACAGTAAAGCTTCAGGTTTTTAAAACTATTTTCAACAAACTGCAGCTTGTTTAATAATTATGTGAATCAGAAACTACTCAGTTTGTCATGAATTCCTCAAGCCTAACACAGATTAAAATGTTCATCATTACAGCACTCTCTAGAAGCTCAGCTTCCTTTTTATTTTTAGATCTGAAATGATACTACATCTTTGTATTTAAAATATGTATTGCTGCTCTAGAATGGTACCCTGTTGTCAAGAGGCATACATAAATAACTGTACAATAGAATTGTAAATAGACTTGTAAATCATTTTTGTGACTGAAGCTCTTTGAAAATAAAATTAAAATGAACAGATATTTTAACTCCTTTCATTAGTTTCATGAAATTGTTTTTAATTATTCTGTATAGAATTAGACCTAAAGCTCATTGAAGAGCAGAGACTTATTCCCACTGACGTCATGGGTATCTTGATCAGCACCTCTGTATTTCTGAAGGTGGGGGTGGAGAAGTTTGCATGCTGTGTGTCAGTGTTCTGCTCTGCAGTGGGATCATACTGACCATAGTTTTACCTGGTGGTTTATAAGAGCTGTTTTAAAGCCAGACCTTGTCCATGTGATAGCAACTTGTTTCCACCTTCTGTTGTTCAGATGTTCCTTCTGTTCTTTGACACGTGGGAGGTGATCTTGAAAAGACTCTTGGGCAAATGCTCCTGGTTGTGAGCTGTTACTGTTGTCATGGTCATCTTCAGAAAAATCACATGGAAATGAAGAAATCTTTTCCATTTTTGGGCTCACCTTCCATTAAAACATTCATTGGCAGAGCACATTATTTTAAATTTGAAGACAAAATACTTGAAATAGCTGGTCACTTAATAACAGAAACTTAATCTTTCAATTTCAAGCTACTATTTTTGAAACTTAGCTTTTTGAAACTTCACTTTTCTCTTTCAGAATCTTTCAGGTTCTAGGTTTTGTTGTCCTGTCACTCCAGAAGACTTTGAGTTAAAACCAGAAACCAAATGTGTCGACCTTGGAATGCTTAGCCAAAGCATTAAGTAAAAAAAAAATTAGTTCCTTACTGAAATTTCTTTGACTCCAATCCTGCAAGAAAGTAAGTCAGAGCAGCTTTGTGAAGGTACAATCGCTTGGTTGTTTAAAGTGGGTGTGTCCACTCCTTTAAAACCTAATGCACCTGTGTAGCAGACTGTGGTGAACCTGTCTAACAAATTTGAAATTTCTGATCACAGTTTGCATGGAAATGTAGATTTCTGACTTCACCAGATTTGCATTGGGTTGACTGAAGCCCATACTCCAATATCACTGTCAAAAGAAGCTACAAGTGGTTTTTGTGCCGTTGTGCATGTGACTTAAAACTTTCTCCTGTTCTGTGAGTGGCCTCAAATTGTACTTTTGGAGTTTCATACAACCTATGGAAGTTGGTTGCTTGCAGAAGTAATTGTAGGCAAAAATCTGCTCTGAAGCTTAAAATATTCTTTGGCCTTTCCCAGTAGTTGGGCAAATATGGGTAAAAGTGTTATCTAGAGGATGCGTTTTGCTGGTTTGCTTCCCATTTAAAGTGCAGAGTCATAGTGAAGCCTGATTGCCTGCTATGCTCCCAGTAAGTTCCTCTAAAAAGCAGTTAAGTTTCTAAGATACAGCTCAAAATTCCTTTCTCATGCTTCTGTGAGTTTAGGAACTTGGAAGAAAGTGAAAAAGGTAAGCACCCACTGTAAGTGATACGTGTGCTCAGTGTTCTGTGAAACTAAGTTCAAAACTGATTTGAGACTTTTAATATAGTAACAGTATTCATGTGTTGCTTCTGGCATCCTTTTGTAGTCTTGAGAAACATTAAGGGCGTGGCAGAAAGGGAAAGGCTGTAGATCAGAAGGTGGTAAATGACCAGCCAGGCTGGTGCCCTTTCTGGAATGCCAGGTGTCTCACGTGAGGGTTTGAGAAAATTCTCATACACGGGAATGTATAGTTATGACCTTTATTGTGGATGTTACTGTATTCTGTACTGTTAAAATCTTCAGTTATGGAAATCTAAATATTTCTTCAAAAACACCGTCAGCAGCTCTCGATGTTTGAGACCCCTAGGATTATCCAGTTGTTGTGCCAGTCACACACGTGTGTGGCCTTCATCTCTTGCAAAGAATTTCAACCATTTCATTGTTTACTTGTAAAAACAAGCACTTTCTGCACTTCTGAGCTCTAACCTTGTCTTGTTGTATACTCCTACCTTTCGTTATGAGACCAGGAAAACAGACATCAAGTGTTATCCTGTTTCTTATTTTACAGACTCTGGCCTGCAGTCATGCCCTCTGAGGGACCTGCATTTGCAGTCTATAGCATAACAGTTTCAGGGGGTTTTTTTCCCCTGTTTGGTTCTCTATGTCCTTACTTCTCTTGTCTCACTGAATTTTGTAGTTCTGCTGTGGTCTTGCATTGAGTTGGTGCAGGTTGAGATGCCAGTCAGAGCTTGAAACAGAAATTTCTTAGTCTGTTTCTGCATGGAGGATGCCACTCGTGGCGGATTGGCTGGATTACAAGTTTACTGAGGTAGAAGCATCACTAGTCTCTGAGAGAGAGTCAGTTTGGAGGGTGCAGATTACTAGGAGGGTGAGATTCTCTGAAAGATTCTTGTTTGACATGGAAAAAGACCTTTGGAAGAGTGACATCTTGTGCTCTTTTTGTGATGCACGTCTCATTCAGTGAGCTGTGGAAGGCCCAGTAAGATCTTGTTTTGTGGCACTGTGTTGCTGGTAGTTGATACCAGTGGATGCCCTGTCCCTCCCTTCCCGAGGAAGGGATGCAGATTTTACCAGACCTCAGTACTCTGAACCTAAACAAAATTTTTTTAAGTTTGTTTTTTTCTTTTTAAGCACTCCCTTTTGATTTTTTTTTTTTTTTAATGCAGCAGCTGGTTTGGATCTGCAGCTATTTCGGGTCTGTATGGTATGGTATGTTCTTGTCAGCAGTTCAGGTGCATGAGAAGCTCTGCTGTTCCCCTTGACTTAAATGATGGGAGTTGTACCCATGTCTGTCTGTGGGGTTGGTATGAGAGACCTTCGTCCTTGCCCCTGGAAAAGGGTATGTTGGGATGAAGTCCTCCTCTCACACAGTGTTCCTGATGCAGAAGACAGCTATTCCAGTTATGTCTGTGGAAGTTGTCTAGCTATTCCAGCTGTCCCAGCTGCTGCTTATCCTGCTGCTCAACCAGGTGTTTGACATCCAGGTTTATGATGCACTTGGACTTCTTGATTTCACTAAGGAAGTATTTCTAGACTGGATTTCTGTTTAACTTGCTCTTTTAAATATTACCGTTTATAGCTACAATGATTGCTTTCCTGTTCCTTTTTTTGTTTGGAAATCTATACAACTTTCCAACTTTGTGGTATGTTTCAGGCAGATCTACCTGTATTGCTACAACTTTCTATCTAACTTCGTGGCACTTTTTTCCTCTCATTTCACTGTATTTTTAATACCAGGGATAACTTGGTGTTGCATTAAGCTGTTGAAATGAGACTTGTTGGTTATCAGAGGCTCACTACTGTCCTGTGCCACGTGGGCTCTTGTGTGTTACTTAAGGCTATGTCAAAAATAGCCTGTTGCTTCTTGTGTGTTCTTGGGCTGTTCCAAGAAGAGATCACTTGAAAATGCTGAGACATGATTTAACTGAACTGTGCTGTTTTGCTTTTTGCCACTTAAAATATAAGATGCCCTTTTTACCTCCATTATCTGTTTTTGCAGGCTAAACTTTATTTTTAAACCTCAGATAACCCACAATAGAAAAATACTGTGGGTGCAGGACCTTTTGATAATTTTTAAAAAATATTTTCTGCATGTAATTTAGTGTAATGTACTAAACCTTGTCTAGTGGAAGGTGTCCCTCCCACTCCATGGTTGGAACTAGATGATCCTTAAGGTCCCTTCCAACCCAAACCATTCTGTGATTTTGTAATGCTTTTCTGTTCAAATAAATACATATCTTATGACTACTTAGAGTTTCATCATGGTTTTTATATGCTTTCTTTATACTTGACTAGTACAAACATAAACAAGGAATACTTGATTTACAAAAGACCTTTATCTGTACCTCTCAGTGTAAGCTGAGCAGCTTATAAATATTTGCAGTAACAGAGATTTTGAAGTTTGCTTTCAAGCCAAGAGAAATTTTGCACACATTTGCAGGTTTTATGATATAATCACACGTCTTTGTGAGCTGCTAAGTTATTAACTACTTGTGATCAAATCCTGACTCTCTCTTATCTCTTGTAACAGCTAATGTTTCTGGCACTTCAACAAGGATGTTGGTGTTCCGTTTGTCACTGATGATCAAGCTTTTCTTCCAGTTGGATGCATCATTTTGTCCTGAGAAGTGTGACTGCTCTTCAAAAAATGCAATTCATTGCTCGGGTCCCCACATAAAAGACCTGGCATCTTTAAATCTGCCTTGCAACATGACACAAATCCACATAACGAACACTAATGTGCCGTACTTGCAGGATGTTTTTTCTAGGATGGTGGAACTGCAGCATCTCATCTTGTCTTCAAACAACATCTCTCTGGTTTCACCAATGGCTTTTAAAGGGTTGAGAAATCTAAAAATCCTCAAACTGCTAGATAATAAGCTTGTTGAACTTCCTCCAGAAGTGTTTGATGACATGGTGCAGCTTCAGCAATTGATCATCGAAAGTAACAGGTTGAAATCCATCGAGGAAAATCTGTTTGACAAACTAGCTAGTTTGGAGGAACTTTACTTGAACAAAAACCAACTAACAGCACTTCCTAGTGACGTGCTGAAGAATCTTACCAAACTCAAAGTACTGAACTTGTCAAGAAATTACTTAGCAGCACTGCCTAGAAATATATTCAGTGCATTAGCCAGACTTGAGAAGCTGATGCTATATTTTAACAGGCTGTCTTCAGTAGAGTCTGGTATGTTTGATAACCTGACGGAGCTGCAGGAACTCTTCCTGCATTGCAATAACATCCAGTCCATCGCCCCTGATGCATTTCATTGTCTTCACAAACTGAGGCGCCTGACGCTCTCCAGAAACAAGCTTGAGGTTTTGCCTTCTGGGCTTTTTTTGCACTTGCATGACCTGTGTAAACTGACCTTATACAGGAACCCACTGAAGTCTCTTCCAGAAATACTGTTTGGAGAAATGAGGCATCTTGGTAGCCTGTGGCTGTATCACACAAAGCTCCCAACGATACCAGATTTTGTGTTCAGTAACTTGACAAATTTAGAGCTTCTTGTGCTGAGTTTTAATCCAGAGCTTACGGTTCTTCCTAAGAACGTGTTCAGTGGCCTGAATGAACTACGAGGCCTTTCTCTGCATACAAACAATATTTCCAGTTTGCCAGAGGGCATATTTCTGAGCCTTCAGAAACTGCAGAACGTTTCCCTCTTTGATACAAGGCTTGAGGTTCTTCCTAGAGACCTCTTTCATAATCTCAAGCACCTCCAGAAGGTTTACCTGAATAGTACTAAGCTGCAGTCTCTTCCTGCAGACTTCTTTGCCGCTTTACCTGAGCTGCAAGAAGTTGTTCTTGACGACAACCCTTGGAAATGTGATTGCCAAATTCTTGGCTTCCGAGAATGGCTCCAAAAGAACACGGAGATAGTTAAAGATGTGCCATCTCTAATGTGCCACAGCCCACTGGCACTGCAGAATATTTCTCTTGTGGCTCTAACCATTGATGGCCCGAAGTGCCTGCCAACCACAGCCATTACGTATCAGACGTTCAGCTCAACTTATTCCCAGACCTTGACGTCTCCTGTGACGGAGCACTTAAGATCATCTTGGGAGATTTCTGTAACAGCAGTGTTTGACATGGAAAGCAGCACACCCACATCAATTCCTCCTGAGACTCCAGGTTTTACCTACTCCCATGTTGAAGATGTTGGACAACCTGGGTTTCATTTCTCAGATGTTCCAATACAAACTTCTCCCAGCGTCATAGCACGAACTGACAGTGTCAGAGGAACAGATTTAACTACTCTTGTCTGGTGGGATGAGTTGCCAGCCCACAGGAGTGCTAAACCCTATTTTAATACCAGAATTGCTTATTGCCAGCTATTCTTGTGCCTTCACAGTTTGATTTTAGCACTCCAGACTGTAACCATTGTGCTCAGTCTGTATGTGATGGGTAAAACCAGGCAACTCTTGCACTCCAAAAATACTCCTGCTCAGCCTGTAGTTCTGATAAGATTGTTAAGAAGATAGAGCATACTAGCCCAAGAGAGGATTAGAAGCGTTGCCTTGGATGCGGTTTAAGCAATTGATACTCAATTCAGATCTGGATTACAAATCTTCATAGCAAGAATCATAAAGACCTTGGCTTTACAGCATAATGAAAATATGCTTTTATGTACATCACAGTTTTTGCCAGAAGTGGCTGTAATCACTGTACATTGCTACAGCATCTGGTGCAGGAACTGAGAGGGAGAGCTGAAAGTGCCTGTGGTCACTGCAACATGTCCTCTGTGGGTTTCCTGCTTTGGCCCTCAGCCCTGTGCCTGCTCACACTGCTCCAGTGGGGTGGCATTAACATAGGGAGCTCTACACAGGAACATGGCTTTAACTGTGCTTTAGAGAGTGCCCAAAGTACTCCAAATGCTATTATGCCTTATACTGCCTGTTTTGTCTCCTTACTGAGAAAACAAATGGTATTTTTGGGAGGAGATGCTGGGAAGGACCTTTTAACAATGGGAGTGTGGGTGGAATGGTACGATGCAAGTGTCTTAGCTTTTGTTCTCTGTCCTCAGCCCCTTTCCAGGATGTGGCATGAGGAAGGGGTACCATTTAAAGCTAACAGCAGAGGAAGATGGTGAGATAGGAGGTATAATCTTGATGTACTTTATTGTTTGTCTGGTGAGGGGGAGAGTTGGAAACTTTGTAAAGTTACAACAGCTCTGAATTTGAAGTAAACACTTTCATCCTTAAACTTTGGCCAGTGGTCTGAAAAAGCAAGGTGTTACTGGCTGTGTGATGCAGGGAATCTTGAAACCAGAATAACAGGCAGATGCCCAGAACTGAGGCTGGGCTTCACAGGAATGTATTAGATTGGAGCTGGTCTTGACTGAGGTGGGAGAGAAAGGCATGGTCTCTCCTGGGTTGGCTAGCAAAACAGGCATGCAGCCAAGCAGCTGGGAGCCTGCCTGAACTGAGGGCCCTGAAGTGTCACCACTGTTTTGAAGCTGACTGGGGAACGTACACAACTCCATCAGCTTGGAGTGTGCAGTAGCATTTTCAGTCTGGCTATTTTTTACCTTATTACATAGTGCTACTCCCTGACTTCCAGGCCTTTCAAGTGTTGATATGCAAAGACAACTACAAGGCAATAATGTGGGTTTTGGTCTTCATACCAAAATGCTTATTATTATTTGAATTATATAAATATTTTAGTTTGTAAGTAGACTGGTAGCTGTCAGACTGCCTGTGCTTTGGTAGCTCTTGGATTTAACTATTACCTTTTAATTATGTGACTTAGCTTGTTCTTAAAAGCTCTGATGTTGTGCTTGAAAACCTTTGGATGTGGTTCCCCGGCTCCTTGGGCCAGAGAGCCTGTACTCCAGGAGTCCTTTTTTAGTTGTACTGACTTTCTAACTATTGAGGGCGTTTCTGGATGGCCTTAAAATGGCACAATACAGACCTGAGGTGAAGAAAGCTTGCATTTGCTGCAGATTTGTGGCCGGTTCCCTTCTGTGTGTTACTCTAGGCAGTGAGAATAAAGTATTACTGCTTTGTTTCAGGGCATTCTGCTGCTGGGCTTGAATTCCTCTTCCAGGCTGTGAAAGGAGACAATGTGACTCTGTGGTGTGAAATGACCATTGTCTTGCTGTGAGGTTTAACAAAATTTAGTAAGCCTGGCTAAATGGGAGTTAGAGCTATCTCTAAAGAAGCAGAAATGCCAGTCACTACAACTGGTGCAAAGCAAACTGTGACTGGATTCAGAAAACAGATGCTCCAGAATTTTTATTGCAATACATTTGAGAGAAGCACAAAACTAAGAGGAAGCTCTCTTGGTGGTGGCTCTGGGTGGTTGCATGCTGGTGTTTAAAAGGAGACAGTTGTTACAAATTTAGGTTCTTGTTGGACAGCTGTAATGACCACTTAGTGTTGTGCCAGCTCCAGCGCTGTCATATGGTGCCACGCAGGCATCTGCTTCCAGCAGCAGGAGATCAGTATAATCAGGACTAGCAAGAAAATGGTTCTACAAGCCATGCTGGTGATCATTCTCCTTGGAGGAGGAAATGTTCTCCTGGCTCCAGGCATGCACAGTATCTGATTTCTAAGGAAAAGCACCCCTTTACTCGCCATGTGGGTGTACGACACCCTGATGTCTGGCCTCGGGGAGGGCAGTGGGGCAGCACCAGCTGCTGTTTTTCTGAACCCTCCTCTGGCCACCTCAGCCCTGCAGAGGGGCCAGCTGGACCCCCATGCTGCTCCTTGGCTCCCACATGAAGTCACTGATCTCCAGCTCTGGCACGTGGGGGCTCTGGCAGGCGGCTGCACACAGGCAAGTGCTAAGAGGAGGATGATTCCTCTTCACATGCTGTCATCGGGCTTTCCCCATGCTTGAGCCAGACGGGGAAGTGAAGTCATCAGGCAACAAAAGGCTGGAGCAATGAGAGCCTGGGGTGTTTTACTAACTCTTCCTCTGAGGTGTCCTGTTTTGAGTGCCTGTGATTCATTGTCTCTTGCCCAACAGAGCTCAGCCCTTCCTGCAAAATTCCCTGGTCTGAAAAATCCAAGGATATCCTTATTTATACTCCATCTCTGTTTTTCCCAAAGAGGGAAAAAGGTCAGCATGATGCAGCTGAGGCAGGCAGGAAGGCAGCAGAGGGTTCTTGGGAAAACTGCAGATGCATCTCAGACACCCTCTGGGTAGCCTTGCCTGGCTGCTGCCTCAAGGCACCGATCCCTTGCCACTGAATAGGAAAGGTTTTTCTCCCTCCCTGCAGCCCAGGCCTCCATAATCTACTGCCCAGCCTTTGCCACCAGGCTGGGCTGGGGAGACACTGGGCTGGAAGAGCTGGAGGTACCTAATCCCTGGTCAAGTGGGTCCTGACATTATGGAGCATTGACTGTGTCTCTGCCAGGCCTGGACCAGCAGGTCTTGCCTGGGGCTGCTGACTCGGCAGCCCTGATATCAGAGCATTTCCTATGGATGACAGAGGAGCTGGGAGGAGACGCAGCCAAAGGCACGTACCCCCTGGACAAGGCTGGGGCTGTGAGTGTTTACAGACTCTCACAGTGGTCAGGGGCCCAGAAGCTCCTGCTTTGTCCCTTCTAGGAGAGGACAAGCTAAGGAGGTGTCATGCCTCCGTTTTCATTGCCAAAGTCTGGGTTCACATTCTCTTCTCTTCTGGGTGTTTATGAATGGATAAACCCTGGCACAGCCTCTTGCTTGGGCTATACGGGGCAAGTCCCACTTCACTTCAGGGTGGGGGGCTGCTATTCCAGCAGCACCCAGAGCCATCCCCCACCACTCCCCCACCGGGCTCAGCCCCTCTTGTGCAATCTCTGCTGTAGGACTGACGTGCCAGGCTTCCAGCTGTGCCTTTGTGTCTCTCTGGATGGGAAAAGCTTGGGGCAGGGAGCCAGTGATGGCTGGCAGCAGTTCTGCAGCCTGCTGAACACTTCTCTGCTGCCTTCCCCTGGGGAGAGATGGGGTCCCTTCCCCCTTCGGATGTTGGGAAGAGGTCACTGGGGCCCTTCCTGGTGCCTGGGGGGGCTTTACAGAGATGGAGAACAGGGTGAAGCTGGTCCAGCAAACACCTCATAGTGCACAAGCCCCACGCCATTGCCTCCTGCTCCAGCCGGTCCTTCCCCCCTCTCAGAGCCCATCGGACAAGCTCTTTCCGCTTCGGATTATCTCTCCAGGCGGACTTGGCTGCGAGCCCCACATTCCTTCCAGCCTAGTGCTGCCCTGAGCCTGCGCCAAGCCCTGCGTGCTTCTGCTATCGCTCGGGCCAGGGCCGAGTCTGGAGGAGACGGTTCTGCTGGTGGGGTGAGCCCCACTGGTGCTTGAGATCCTACATGCCATTTCCCTTGAGCTCCAGGAGGGTGGTGGTGGTGGAGGTTAGCCTGATGGCCATCCCTGCAACCATCTTGGAGGGACCAGGGCTACTGCTCCCTCCCAAAGCTCCCACTTTGCATAAGCACTTTCCCAGGGAAAGCAGGATGACCCCATCCCTTGGGTCAGATGCAGAGAGGGCATCATCTGGCCCTGCATTCCTTGAGCAGGGAGCTGAACATGCCACTGGGGCTGGATCATTTCCTCTATAGAGGAGCTCTCTGGTTTGGGTTCCTCAGGGGATTAGGGTGGGCATGGGGTGAGGTAGGGGCTACTGGTGCTTCTCTAAGGGGTAGGGGGGCCCCAGCACCAGTCCCTGAGGAACTAATGCCCCTTTCCTCACCCCTCAGCTCTGGCTTGAGCCTGTGGGTCCTGCTGCAGGGCTCAGACTCAGAGGTGTTCCACTACACTGGAACATAGGGAGGATCCCCTCCATGGCCCTTAGCCCGGCCCTCCACCCTCCTCCTCCACCTCAGCAGTGTTTGGCCTGTTGCCCGGGGTGAGCCGGTCTCTGTGAGCACCAGGGGCCAACATGGGGGTTTCTTGTAATGGGGCTGGCACTTTACAGCAGTGGAAAGTAATTTGGGGAGGTCCCAGCACTGCACTGTGGGGAGTGGTGGGGCCTGGGGACGTTCCATCCCACCAAGGGTGCCAGTTTAGCCAGGAGCTGGAGGTGTACAGGGAGCAGGGGCTGAGGGGGGAGCAGGGGCTGCGGGGAGCGGATGAGTGTGCTCAGCTGCTTGGCAGATGAACAATGCACTCTCCCAGCCAAGCCCACAAGCTACTAATTTTAGCGATTACATGAATTTTTCCAAGCAGTCTCGAGTCCCTTGGTGATTCAGAGCCTCTCAGCTTTGCTGCATCCGCCACCCTCGCCGTGGAGATGTGCTGGAGCAATGCCAGCACGGACAGACAGACACGGGGCTGGTACTCTGTCCTGTAGCAAGGCAGACCTCCCTAGTAATAAGTGACACTGCTTTTCTGGGGCTCCATAGCCTCCTTGGAGGTGCAGGGATTTGGCAGTGGCTCCACAGTATCCCAAGCTTGGTCAGGGGAGTTCAGCCTCTGGCTGGTGTGTCTGGAGGTGAGAAAGGTCCAGAGAGCAATGCTGGACGTGGGGCTTTCCCCCAGCATTGGGAGACTTGCTCCACTCCATCCAGTGCTGTGTGAGCTCCTGGCTATACGGAGTAGCCTCTCCCTGCAAAATGCTAATTTCACCCTCCGTCATATCCTTATGCTGTCTTGGGAGCTGCCTCTCCCCTCCAGATGTGTGGGGTGTGTCTGTGCTGCTGTCCCAAGCTCTCACACCCTCTGCTTCTCTGCCTTGTGAGTAGCCTGGGGCAAGCTCCCATGTGCTCACCTCCAGCTGTGGGAGTGGTGCACGGGCTTGTGCCTTTATTTTTAGGAATGTCTTGAAAATAAGTCATCCTTCCCAGCCAGAGCCAGGTTCCCAAGGCCCAGGTAGAGGCCGATGGATTTTTGTCAGGGCTGTTAACTGGACTTCTCTGAAACTCTGGGCACTCTGCGTGGCAGTAGGGATCATAACCTGATCACCCCCCTCTTGGGGCGGGGTGTTTGAGGGTACCCACCACTAAATCCCTGGGGCAGCACTGCTTGGAAGGAGGTGAACCCAACGTTCCTCTCTTAAATTGGGCTTGGGCATCGGAAGTGCTGGGATTTAGTTTCTCTGTTGCCTTGCTGAAAAGCTGTGTGCTTCTGGGTGAGTCAGAGCGGGCAGGAGCCCAGCAGCGCTGGCAGCGGGCAGACAGAGCCCGATAAGGCTGTGATAAGGCTGCCAGAGCCCTGCTCTCATGCCAGGGCTGCAGGGAGTGGGCAGCTCCCAAGCCTTGACCTCCGGCTGCACTGCTGTCAAGAAAGCAGGGAGATTATTTTGGGAACCATGGTTCTGGGAAAATCTGCTGTATCAATAGAGTGTGAGCTAGAGCACTTGGGGGGTGGTGCTTTCAAAGTGCCCTTCCTCTGTGCCCAAATGTCTGGGTTTTGCCCTGGAGCAGGCAGAGAGCGTGGCCAGGGAGTTGTTTCAACCTCCATGCTCACTCCCCAGCCAGAAAGGTGTCCATGGCTATCCAGCATGTCCTATGGCAGCTGGGGCTATGGGAGTGGTGGCAGTTGCCTCTAGCTGAGGTCCCACTCCCTACCATCTTCCCACGATCCCTGTCTCCTCCCTCCAAGACTGTCTGGGAACTCTGCTCTCCATCCCTGCAGTTTGCTGTTTATCCTGGTCTGGTCCCCTCTCTGAACAGGATTGCTGTCCCTTCCACTGCCCTGCACCCTCCCACCCCTCACAGCACGACACACTGCAGTGTGGGGATGGGGGCCGCCTTCCTCCCCCTTCTCTGGCAGCAGCCCCATGCTGTTCCCATCTTGAGCAGCTTGTCAGCGCCAGCTGGGACCTGAGCAGGGGCTGCTGCAACTGGCGGAAACATGGGTGGGCTCAGACGGGATTAGATGTGGTCAGGCAAGTTCCAGCTGCCCCGTGGTTAGCATGGGACTGCTCTGGCTCCAGGAAGCCCAAAG